CCCAAGAACATTTTGTTGAACTTCGTTGATTAAACTAAAATTTGTATATATTGTTCTCTAAATTTATGTCTCTATTCGATGAAATGGTTGACTGGTAGAGTTCGACTCCGGAAGATGGAGCAACTTCGCCACTGATACAGCCCCGGGTAAACAGTGGGTGAGAGGGGCCACCACTGACAGATAAAGGGGCCCGCAGCTCTCTCCGGGGGTGGTTTCCACAAATATTTACTGACAGCGGCTAGTTCTCAAGGGGTAAATATTCCCAAGAGGTGTCAACGGTCTACTAAGTACCAGAGTGGACTTATCTACTTAAAAAAAATATAAGGCATACATACTTGGTCTCATAAAAACATCTATGAGCTAGGAATATTCCATGTGATTGCTTACCTGTAAACAGAAATAAGGAAAAATTGTTAAAATAAAATCCATAAAGGTACAATATATTGAGGTTATTCAAAAACTAAATTCGATAATATCATATAAAAAAAAATATATAATAATAATATTTTAATATTTTTTAAAAACTATTATATAGTCTAATAAAACTATTGTATTGTTGGGAAATGTTAATGAAAGAAGAATATCGATGGTAGGCAATGAAAACCTGGTAAGCTCATTTTGATAAAGTTGACCCAGAAGGAACAAATAAGTTTTCAAAAAAATGTATAAGCGATACAGATTAAGCACCTTTAATTTTTAGTGGCTAAAAGTTATTTAAAGAGATATCTATGTATCTCTTGTTATTTGCGTAGTTCTTAGTCTGGAATTCATAGGTTTTCATAACCTGAGGGAGCCGGGTAACTACAATAAAAATTCTCTAAAACGGCACACACACGAACGGGCTAAGCACATACCCCTAAACTCAGAAATAAACTGTCGGAAGTTTTTTTTCTTGATTTTTTAAAAATTTATTTAATTTTTTAATTACGCCTCTCTTTATCGGCTTCCATCAGAGGTCTTGCAGCTCAGTACCATTCTTTTTTTACTTTCACTTACGTACATACTTACGTAGTAAGGGTAAATTTTTTTAAACATCATATTACGTTTTATTTACTTTAATGAATGTAATTTGGTTTCTTTATGTAATTTATCTATCATATAGTATGTAGGTTTTTCCAGGGATGGCCGTTCCCCCCAAGGTCAATGGCTACTTTATGGCTTTATGGCTACTTTATGGATTTTATTTTGTGCATGAGCATCCCATCCCACCTCCCAAGATATTTTATTGCTTTCATCTTCTTAAAAACAGTGCAAGCTAAAGTTAAATTTTAAAAATCATAGGTCACGTACTATTACACTTTCATTGGCCTGTTCCATGCTTCCCATCTGTCTCCTGATTTGAAACTTTCCATTTCTAAAATTCATAATCCCGTCGAAATGTCCTCTCTCAAAAATTCAAAACCCCGTCGAACTGTGCTTCCCTCAAAGCTTTTGATGGCGCAACTTGCGCCATGAAATCCCCTTTTGGGAACCTACGGGTTTTTCCTAATGTATAATAAATGATAAGTAATAAGATATGACTACTAAATAAGCAATCACACCACTATTATGACTTATTTAATTGTAAGCACAAACATGTAACCATTATTACCACACAATGTACAGTAATAATATGTAAATTAATGATGATTAAAAAAAAAAAAGAAATCAATAGGCTCTTTAACGTTGTTTACATTCAATGTTATAAAACGTATTTTATTAATCTCCTCCTTATTTTGTTAAATCGCAATTGTAATAGCATAGTTAGATAAAATATGATAATTAATAGCTTTGAGTATCGGTATATTTTTTCCTTCATTTCACTTTTACCACTTTAGGTAGGAGAGTTAAGTAAACAATTCGTAGAAGGTTTAAATTAAAAAAAAAAAGTTTTAAACTCAAATTAAAGGAGCCCTCGAAAACTCGGTAAAATGAAACTGGAAAGGTTGAATAAGGTTGGAATTGTGGGGAGGGCACTACTAGGAAGTGTTGTAGGTCGACGGCCGGCGGTCCAGATCGATGGAAGCTGCAGTGAATGGGAGGAGGCGGTGGCCATGGATACGGCCCTGGCATACTGACACCTGTCGAATGGGTCACTCCACCTTCTCATACATTAATATCATTAATCTAATACATTATTTATCATATATGTATCTGAAATGTATTGGGACCGATTACCTACAGTCCGTGGAACAGACACCTTGTTATCAAATTATTAACTTCTGCTTAAAACTTCGTGAATGGCTGCATCTTATCGCAACCTAGACAATTTTTAATATATAAACAAATTCTCAGAAATGGGGCCTTTTTTCATTAAATTGATTATTTTAATGATATACTAAAAAAGCATAAGCACTCATTTACTTTCCACTTGAATCGTAACTATACTACTATACTAGATATAATTTGTACAGAAAATGAAAAAAAAAGAAAGGTGGCCTACAAAAATATTGGGCCGTTTGACCATTATAACCTCGTTACCGCCAAATGGCCCAATATTTTTGTAGGCCACCGTTTTTCTTGATTTTGTGAACAAATTATCTTACGATTCAAGTGGAAAGCAAATGAGAAGTCATGAGGGTTTAGTACCTAATTAAATAGACAAAGTTGCCGATCTCTCGATTGAATTTGATAAGAAGGGATCTGTACCACGAGTTACTTAATAACTAGAGTTTTGTCTTAAGACTGTAGTACGTAGTAAAACTGAAAAACTCGGATTGCAAGTGATGATAGATTCTCTTCATAATCAGTGCCGGTACAAGAGGGTCACCAAAACAATTAATTGTTAGAAAACATTTATAGATAGTTCTATACGTACAATATTAGTAAGGTACTTGTTAACTTTAACAAACTTATTACAAAATGGGTCAATTTTTAACATACTCATTAATATTAAAATTATTATAAGCAAAATGGTTTAATACAGTGGAGGATTTAAGTATAGGTAAACCAGATAGTTTCCTAGTCCAGATAGTCTTGGTCTTGCAAACTCAGTCTTGGTCTTGCTCAAGAGTCTCCCAACAGTCTTGCAGTTACCTATTAGCTTATTACTGTAGATAAATTGCTGTAATTTTTTAGACAGGAGTAACCTAACTAAGCCCGAATAAAAAATCATTATTCTTTACATATAGTAAATAAAATTATCAAGTATTAGTAAGTATTTTGGCTTGATTTTTATTCAAAAAATCGATTTTTTTACAAGTCTTGGTCTTTGTCTTGGAACAGTTTAGCGGTCTTAGTTTTGGTCTTGCAAAATCAACACTAGTACTTTCTGAGTTTTACCCTAATCACTTTGAGATCAATTAATAACACATTGTTCCACACTATTTCTATATAAAGGCAAAAAGAAAAGTTACATTCATAGGAAAGAATTATAAAAAATTATCAATATATATATGAAAGCTGGGGTAGCCTTGCTGGCTAAGGCGCTTACAATAGGTAATCAAAGGTAAGCAACGCCGAACGTGGCTCTAGCATGGGCGACCGTTCACCAAGGAAAGCCACGCTGCCCGAGATCCCCCCTCCCACCCGGTTATGTGAGACCCGTCAACTTATTGGAGGCAAGTCACACCGACCGGACGTAGGATTGATGATCCTACCCCGTACTTTAAATCGGGAATCGGTAAATGGTCTAGGAGACCACACTCACGGTCAAAGATCTTCATGGTCTGAAGCGCCAACAAAAAAAAAAAAAAAAAAAAAAAAAAAAAAAAAAAAAAAAAAAAAAAAAAAATAATATATATATATATATATATATATATATATATATATATATATATATGTATATAGAGTCAAATTTTACAAGTAATTTTAACATTAGAATAAAAGGAACCTTTCACATATAATGTACCATTCAAACATAATTCATATCTTAGGAATTATATTTTACGTAATAGCTGTCTAGAAAATATTTCGTATGACCGTTCGTGACTTCATAACACGTGTGCCATATCATTCACCATGTACATGTATATATGAATATATAAGAGTATCTCATACCGATAATACTATCCCAATTAAGAAGCAGACGATTGATAAACAGTCGCCACTGTTTAAGTAAGAATCAACAGGAAGAACATACGAGTGCAATGAGCTCTTAATGCCAACGGCCTCAGTCGTTGACTCGAACCGATGCATCATTGTCACAATATTTGTAGTTATTTAAGTTTATTAATTATTTTTATCATTGAGACAGCCATAAGATAAAGTTTGAGTGGTGAATACATTTCTTGAAATAGCTACCATCCGTAATCGTCATGTTGGCAAATTCACAGTCCGGTTGTAAACAAAGGTATATAAATATATACGCAAGCAGCAGTAATGTTTATTGGGTATTATTTTATAGGAATGTATGTATTTAAGTTAGGTAACCTTAGCCTGGGAGGTTACTGCATCATTCATCCTTGAAAAAGGCTTTAATATTGATCTAATCCCTTATATCAATACAAAATCAAGCGGTATATAATGACAAACAACAATAAAATATTTACTTTAGAATTTTTTAAATTATTTTCCTTGTTCAACAATAATTTTAAAAATGTGATATTATGTAATATGTGAAAAACAAAACATTGTTTGAAGTCTAGAATGCAGTATAGGATTTCAGTGAAAGTCTTGGGTCGATGAGAAAATAAAAAGTATAAAAAACATTTGTTTACATTGTGAATATTTTAAATAGACCTCAGAGGCCTAATTGCAATACCAATGGAAGGTTTTACTGTCAGGGCTAAATTTTAAATATAGTTCCAAATAGTTTTGACCTCCATTTATATCTAAGTTAATCACTATATCTAAGAAAACTGAATTGAAATCATTCATGAATAATAAAATTATGAATCAATCGATCTATTTCTGTATGAAAAGTAATTTTATAAGAAAGTTAAAATTAAAATAAACCTTCAGTCATATACTTCCTTGCTTAAGAGTTTTGATAAAATTTTACATTATTTTATTTTAAATTAATAATATTTCAATACAGAAACAGAATAATAATGAAAAAGTATATAACCTCTTCAAATCTGTTATTATTTAACAACTTAATTAACCATTTCGTCATATGTCAGTATGATACCGTATGTAAAGAACAATTAAAATTTTTAGTTCATAATATTTTTTTTTGATTTTTTAATATTGAGTAATATTTAGATCATTTGATAAAAATGGCAACAAATGCAGAAATCAATGTGAAAATTTCATCTGAGTTTCGCAACATCCTACTAGAATTGGTTGTAGCATATTTAATTGATCAACCTCCTGATTTTCTCGATTTTGCCATAGAATTTCTAACAGAAAAAAGAAATGAGAAATTAGGGACCGCCCAGTACGTTCGACCAGATCTATTCGAGACCGAAGAAGAACTAGAGGATGACTACATAGATCGCCGAGAACGCAGGAGATCCGTCTTTGCTGAAGCTTACGATCCCGAGGAAGAAGTTGAGTTTAAACCTCCAGTATATCCTAAGGATAAAAAAGAAAAAGCAAAGATGATGGACGCTATGAAAAACATATTAATTTTCCGATCGTTGGACAATTCGCAAAAGGAACAAATACTTGATGCTATGGTTAAGAGAGATGTATTCCCTGGTGAAGTGTTAATTAATCAGGGAGAGGAAGGTGATTTCTTTTACATTATCGCTGTAGGAATCTTCGAAGCTTGGAAGGATGACAAAGTATTGCTAAACAAGTATGTCAATAGTGGCAGTTTCGGCGAACTAGCTTTGCTCTACAACGTCCCGAGAGCTTGCAGTGTCAAAGCAATCACTGAAGGAACTGTCTGGGTTTTGGATAGATTAACCTTCCGCAAGATCGTTCTGACGAATGCCTTCAGGAAAAGAAAGATGTACGAGATGCTGATAGAGGGTGTACCACTGCTGTCTGCTCTCAACGAATACGAGAGGCTAGCAGTTGCCGATGCACTTGTAAGCCAAACCTTCCAAAACGGGCAGAAGATAATAGGGCAAGGGGATTCGGCCGATGGGATGTACTTCGTGGAGAGCGGCAAGGTGAAGGTGACGGTCAGAGGTAAGGACGGGGCTGAAATCGAGATAAAGCGGTTGGAAGCCGGGGAGTACTTCGGGGAACTGGCCCTCCTGACCTGCAAGCCGAGGGCGGCTTCGGTCTACGCCGTTGGGACCGCCAGGGTCGCATTCTTGGACGTGGACGCCTTTGAGAGGCTGTTGGGGCCGTGCATGGACATCATGAAGAGGAACTTCGAGACCTACGAGACTCAGCTGAACCAACTGTTTGGAAAGTCCATCATCTCACCTCATGAGGTGAGGCAATCTCAAAGGCAATAAAGGTTACTTATAGAGGAGCATTTGATGTAAATTCTGTTAATTAATTATTGAGGTACAGATCAAGTCACGATGATGAAATGCATCAAGTGTTGACATAAATAAATTCGCCATTTTATCAAATGTGTTAGTCTTAAAATAAATTTTTTTTTGACATATGTTTCATTTATTCGATTATTAAAGAGGATGATTCTTCGCTAAAAGTTACTTTTAAACTGTTTCTACTTTGTGCTGTTACATACTGAGAACAAAAGAGCATTATTCTCCCTGGCATAAAAAAGCTTAATATGTTGCATGTACAACAATAATCTACGACTGGTACTTAATCTTCTCTCAGCCGTCTTAGGAAACAATCTATACCATCCAAAAACGTGTGCATTTTTTCAGAATACCCATTGCTTGCATACTTCTGCAATTTATTAATGTATTAACCTTAAAATGAAACAGACTCATTCTGCTATCAATCTATCTGTAATGAAACTATAATGTTAGCACTTCAGTTCAGAATGGCAACGTGTCGCAAAACAATTTTCAATATACGCTAGGTGCGGACAATATTAACCCAGTGCCTGGGAGGTTGGCATAGATGACATTCCCTAGATGACTCCCTTCCTATACGTACTATAAACCTACTCAGCTATATAGTTAGGAACTAATTATTGGCTTTAAAATAGTTCCAAGATAGGTGTGTTAAAAATAAAATTCCATACGTTATTTACATCAATGTACTGTTTTTGATTATTGATGTTTGTTAGTATGAATTAATTGAATTTGAATAGCAGGTATTTAGATTTTTGATACCCTATTTTTAGTTTGTAGCGCGATTTTTACATGGTAATAATTTCTTTAATTTTGTTAAATAAGCATAAGGCAATTATGTTATTAATAGATGAATCCAAACAACAACGCCACAAGTCTCCAAACATACAGGTGAATCGTTAACTTGCCAACGTTTAGCCAATTGAAGCCTCATCAGGACAGAAAAAACAAGACCACTTATATGCAGAAAGAAAAAACAAAAAAGGAAAAAAATATTGTTGCTGTAGACATCTCACGAAGACATCCAAATAAATACTGAAGGAAAAGGGAGGTTCTATTAACACATCTAAGGAAGTTTATATTGAACAGCTGATTAGCAGGTTGATATAGCAGACTGAAAGCAAAAAAAAATACACATAACTAAAATATAATAATACAAAACGTGATAAATAAAATAAAATAAATTCAAAAGAAAAAACTTGAAGGTATATATAACATCCATTCCCAACAAGACCCAATGGTAATATTACAAAATAAGCATAAAGCTAGAAAGGAGACATAAGGTAATTATGATATAGTCCTGAGCGTCTGTGGCTGTAGTGCCCTCTTTCAGTCTCCATTTGCTTCTAATACTAGTGATGCGGCTGGAAAAGTGGCGCTGGGATCTCCCGGAGTCTTGCTTCGCCTTCCACGTATGGGGGAAAAAGCCTGGCTCGGAGATTCTTGGGCGAATGTATATATTGTATATAGGTATGATTGTGTTTAGAAATTTTTATTTTATTTTATTTTTATTTAACTTCTTCACCAGTATTATTTATTTACTTATTATATTTATATTTATTTCTTTATTATTTGTATATATTGTATGAATGAGAACTTGTAGCCCTAATGCTTATAGCCCTCCAGCAGTGGCTGATTGTATTATTATTCAATAAACAGATTAAAAAAAAAAAAAAAATTATGATATAAATGGAAAAATCCAAACAACAAAGCCATGAGTCAACAAACATACAGGTGAATAGTCAACTTACCACTTTATGTCTGGAATGGAGGGATTCATAAATTTGAAAAAAATTAAGAACAATTTAGTTTCTAGTTGTTAATTTAGTTATGATAAATCGACAGTTAAAAGTTATCGTCCACAACAAATAGTAGTTTATATATTAAAACTGAACCGATAGCTTCCTTTTTTCCTTTCCCATTTATGATAATACCATGAAAGGATGGATTATGTAGTAATGTCTACATGTACGATGCCTCAGGTATGAACGTTAAATAGTACAAGTGAATTACTACATCAAGAAAAAACAAACCCAAAAAATATCTGCTTTCTAAGATTGGAGTTCTATTAAAATCCAGGTGTGCACAATGTTGGTCGAATGTTTTATGAGTAGTTTTTTCTAAATTTTTTAAATAAGGGGATTAAAGTCGGAATGGCGTGTCACATTTTTAATAATTCTGACTCAAGCTCGGAAATACAATACTGGAGAGTTTAAGTGTTAAAAGAAAAAGAAAAAATTGAGTGTTTATCAAACTACAAAATTGTACATATCGAAATTTAAATTTTTTTGATTAAATGATTTTAAAATATTTCAAATTAAGCAAAAAAACAATTGTTCCGCACACAAATTAAGACCACAGTTTATCAGAATAATTCAACTTAAATCTTTTGTTTATCACATTGAAGATGTATCAACCTCCCATCAAATGTATATTAAATAAATCTGAAAAATAAACTTCCCAAGAATTAGCGTTATCAAATTACAGGACTTACAGGAATGTTTTCACCCACAGAAATCAAATCCACTGAGAATCGTGAAAGCAACTGTTGGGAAGACTGGCTCTTTCTCCCAGTATCGTATATCCTACGATTGGGCGAGTGCTAAGAACAATTCGCCGGATTTATTTTTATTGTTATCACCTCTCTGGATCAGTCGAAGTGCCGAAGTAGAGGGAAAGTTCCTAACGGTTCGGATCAGTTAGTGAAGACCGTATTAAGCTGAGACTTTGAGCAATTTATATAACATTTAAACAATCGTGCATGTCATACATCTTGGACAAGCTATTCGCTAACTTTCCAAGGGTAATCACTGCTGATTGTATCGTTGCTGTTTCGCCTTTTCATTCCCAGTGATATAGATTATATTATATTTGATCCTAGAGATTCAACTTCCTGAACCGGGTAAGTAACAGAAAAATGGAATATGATATAAATAAAATTAAATCAAGGAGAATATGTCGCTGATTTAACCCGAGCCAGATATCTATCCTTTCATGATCAACTCCAGTCCCACTCAAATCAACTTGTTTCCACCCTTGCTTCTTCCTCGATTCCTGATAATCCTCCTAGGCGTCTGAAAAGATGGCCTCGTGATCTCCTTACATAGAATCATTTAAGCAATGCTACCACTGGGTAGTATTTCGACAAGTCTGTTCATATCAGTATTTCTAATTTATTTACATATTTACTAGTTGTATTTATTTAATACAGTTGTAAATTTCAATAAATACATTTTTAAAAAATCCAGAGGATGTTTTTGGCTAATCTGCTTTTTTCTACCTAAAATGAAAACTAGTAGATGAAACAATCATCTTTACGTTTTAGGTACGTTCCAATATCCACTCTCTAAGCAAAAGACCTCATCCTATTGAATTATGAATTACTTCTTATAAAAGTACTACTTTAAGCAAATGTTTCGTCATTCTTGAAGCCTTCTATAATTCTTTAATCATCTCCATTTGTATATTGTCGTTTTTATGTTCCTCTAAGCGAAATTTATTCCTTCATCTATTTCACCCAGCATTATTGCTTATTTAAATTAATAATTATTGGAACTTTGTCCCAATAAAATTTTTTTATTTTATTTTAAGAATCTTGAAATTTTAAGTTGCTTCAACATACTCATAAAGTTAAAAAAAAAAAATTGTTTGGATTAAACACTAATGACTTAGCTTTTAACATTTCGTATTTAGGTATGTCTCTTTTTAATAATTTACTTATCTGTAAGTTATTTATTTTTTTTATTGTATGTATATACTTTTTGATTATCCTTTAGTTATTATTTTGCTTTTTTGTTAGTGATGTTATTAAAAAAAAAAGTTAATACATTTTCCTGATAACATTTTGATGTTAACCTCTGAGGTTTCGATGCTAAAATTTTTAAACAACTACTCTTGTGACGAAAGGGTCTCTTAGCCTAGTGAAAATAAATTGATAGCTCCAATAAATATAATATGAAATCAATTTGGTTGATCCGGACGGATAAATACTATCTTCTATTTTTATGTCGTTGGGTGCCAACATAACTTTTCAAAATTATTTAAAAAGTAGTCATACTGATGCGTGTCCTCTTTTTTATTGAATGCACACATAATATATTGTTTTTTTTTTAATATTTGAACTATCGGGTGTATCCAATTATTGGATCGAAAAGAGTTATATTACACAAAATGAACAGTATTTCTCATAAAAGAATCTTGAAGTCAATCGGAGGTAGAGAAATAAAAACATTTGAATTTGAGAGTTCAGAGGGCTGTGTCAAAGTCAAAGGTGGAAGAATTGTATTAAGGGTCCAAGTCGTGAGAGGGAAAACAACCTTGGGGAGTCCTTTACAAACACGAGACTTGCATTACTTGAAGGAAACCTTTCAGAGTTTTTTTTTTTTTTTGGAGTGGGGCAACGGAAATCTTTCAAGATGTTTTGAATTTTTCTTCACAAAGGATTCTATAATCTTCTTAATGACTATATTCATGGACACTCAAATAGACTAAATACCGATGAGTAATGAAATTTATCACGGTGCATGCTGTTTATATTTCTTATTGAATTACTTTGAACAGATGAAAAGATGTTGATTCTTCTCTTCATGAAAGTAATTATTTAATTTATTTAGAGTATATGTGGGATATGAGCGTAATTGTCCCGTTAATTCCAAATCCTGATCTGCTATTTACAGAGCATGAGCTCTTAACACCGATGTTACACAAATCAGCTAAGAGTCTTTTCAATCACTAGCCCTCAATTTTCCTTTTACATAGTGTTTTTCGGTAAGTGGAACCTTCAGCTGTTCATATACTTCATAAAATAATACTTCATGATTAACATATCTCCTTGACAGTATTGTGTTTAAGCGAGAGTCAAAATGATGAAAGTAGACGATCATTATCATCTACGACTTTATTTGTTAGATATTCATCTTTTGAAAATGTTTACCTTTATTATGATTGATATGGTATGAATGATTACTAGTAGAAATTTAAAAAATACAAATTTGGTATTAATTTCAACTAGAAAATATTTTTTCCCATTTTCTCCTTTAGTTAATAATCAAATTCTTTCATATTTCATATTTATCCAAATTTTATTGCTGGTAACAATGAGAGGCCTTAGATTATTTCT